CCAAATATAAATCATATTATATATATATTGTGAAGAACAGGATATTAATACAGTAACTTTGAATTCCCAGCCAGTATTATCAAAATTAGTAAATGCAGGGATGTGTCATACATGAATAAACCAGCATGAAAGTCATCAGTTTTTAGGTTGCATTGCATCAGTGAAGTTAAATGTTTAGTCTTTATTGAATGTGTTATATACCCAATTCATATTCACAGTCTGTATTAGTCATTTAAATAATTCAGTATTGATGTTGCATATCAGAAAATTTATTTCTTTATTGCACCTTCAGTTCACCAGATATGTTATTGATGAATATGGAACTGTTATTTGCAAAATATTAATTAGTAAGACTGTGAAGAACCATTTGTCATAAATTGAAATGGACTTATTTTGTTTTGAAATGCCATAGTCAATGTCAAGTGTGATGTTCATCTTGTAAACTGTGAATAGTATGAAAGTGTTCACTATGAGTTTCTGAGTGTGTTACATGATAAGCAGATGCACCTGTTTAATTTTTCTGTATTTAATTAAAGCATATTGCTATCAACCATGACAATTTTAAAAGTACAATATGTGATTCAAATTTTTAAAATGTTAATTAGATTATAAACACATATCCATTAAAGTTACATGTGTCACATTCTGCCATACAATGACCTGTTTTTGAGACAGTCATCATCAAAATTTAAAATAGATTTTTTGATAGTTTTCTGGATTTCTGAAATGCACATGTCTCATGTTACATGTCTTAAATTTATCAGCAAGAATTGAATTAATAATTTTTATAAAAATAATCTTCTTATATTGTAATAAATATGGTATATAATATTGTATGGACTGAATAGTGAATTTCTGTTTCTTTTTGTAAACCATGAGAAGCTTTAAAAGTGCAATGCTGGACACTGCACTCAGACTATGAAAGTTAAATTTTTGAAGTAATTTCTTCTTTGTGACTATATTTGTTACAGTTAGGGCTAGCATATGACTAAATTTCCTTCAGTATAACATTATATATTTGAGTACATGTGTGTGTGGTTCCATGACATCTTGTTCAAGAGTTGTTTAGGAAGGAGGTCACTATGACAGCATTTTGTAAAATAATATGTTTTTTAGCAGCCAGTCAAAGTACAGGTAACATTCCCACTTCTGCAATTAAGTGTAGGTCCCTGAAATTTTGTATTGTAGGTCATTGAATAATATGTAACCCCTGTTAAAATTGTTTCTAAAGTAATGGAAATTAGGAAAACAATACTTACAGTTTGAATTGATAATTATGGACAGTTGCAGGCAGACGTGTGAAATTTGGAATGGTAGTGGGTTATAAATAAATATATTTTTTTAATGGAGTAGATGTCTGTGTTAAGATATTCCAACAAAGTGCTGGCATAAACATCTCAAGTTATGCTTAAGAATAAATGTGAACTAATCAGGTTTTTCCGAATTTATTTGTCATAAAAATTCAGCTTGTATTTGAATTCAGACTGAGGTCTGAATACACACTAGGACTAATTTTTCATGATTGCTGCCACAGGTTCAAGAGGAGTCAGAGAAATAGGAAAGTGAAGTTTTTCTCCCTTGTATGGACATGTTTGAGGTACATTATTAGAATCTGTACTATGCAGTATTTGAAAATTAAGTCCTAATTTTGTGCTTTCCAACTAATTCAATTCATGTGAACAATTTTGCATGTTTTAACTTCATCTTTTTTTGTTATGTCTCATAGTGCATTTGAACAGCTGTAGTATTTATAAAGCTGTGTGGCATCAAAATTTATTAAAACCATGTTTTTCAGTTCTGAGTTTCATTTAGCACATGTAAGGGGCTGCATCATAAATCAGCAGGTGACTTTAAACATGTATCAGTGTTATATAGAAATATGCATCCCGCGCTGTAGCCATGCGGTCTGAGGCATCATGCTTTGGACCGGTGATACAGATGCACGCTGGTTCGAGTCTCGGGGAAAGAAATTTCTGATGAGATTTTTGACCGGTGGATGATACCGGTGCCAACCCAGCATCGTGAGGAAATTGGGGAGCTACAATGGGTAGTGTAATCCGGTTATGAAAACTAGCAATGGCTGGGGGTTTGTCGTGCTGACCACATGTCACCCTATATCTGATTGGATGATTGTTTACCTCTGCTTAGGCATGTGAACGTGAGGCCAGCAGTCAGCTAGTCAGCTTTGGCTCACATAGGGCTGTTACGCCACGGATTATTATTATATAGGAATATGCAGTTCTTGTTCTGGTAATTCTGCTGTACTAATGACAGTGGACAAAATTTAAAATAAGTAAAGTAAAGCCGTCTCACTATACACAATACAGTCGCTTTGGGGGGAGAGAGGGTATAGCTCTTACTCATTCTTGACATTGGCACTAGATGGGGGTGAGTGGTCAGCATCACGCCGCAGCCGTGCTTTACCCCTGGGAAAGGACCCCGGTACCCATTGGGTAGGAGGCTCAGTGGGTCTCAGAACTGGTCTGGACACAGAGGCTAAAACACATTAATAGGTTTTTAAAATCTGCATGTGCTATTAGATCACTTCAATCTTATATGAGACTTTAAGAAAATACCATATGTTGTTGCTTACCAAGATAATGGGGATGCCAACATATTATTTTGTGTGTGTTGTACAACTTACAAAAGTCATTAAAGAAGTATTACTCAGAATAAAGTACATGAAATATCTTGTTATGCCCATCTTTGTAGCTGTTTAATATTTCAGCATCTGTCATTAGTAGTTATGACAGAGTCATATTGTTATACCTTCAGCATTCTTTCTGTGTATGCTGTAAATATGACATATTTCCTCCAGTAATCTGAACTTGGCAATAAAATGTAACATGAAGGATATGAAAGACACTATACTATATTATTCTGTAGCATCTCTTCAGGTCTCTGAATCCCTGTACCCAAGCACCACTGCATATTTGTATATATCTAGAGTAGAATTGAAGCATCACACATTCTTGACCATGGCACTAGATGAGGTGAGTAGTCTGCTTCATACCCTCCCCCACTTTATCCCAGGACCCACTGTATGCAAATCTGTGTGACAGTGAAGAAAAAGATTCTGTACCTGCTAGCAATTAAACCATGGTATTTTAGTCTGTAGCCTCTCAGACATTTACTGGGCTATCTTGGCTCATGGATGTTTTGTCAAGCAACACTAAATTGAAATATACAGATGTGGATGTTCCAAAAGAGTTCCATAAAATTGCATACATTTCCTGTTTTCCATGTTTTCATTTCAACTTTTCAAAACACATCATTAGTAGTTATCAGTCCTCATGTCAGGTGTGTAATATTCCTTGCAGTGGACAAATTAGGTTCAGATATACAGATGTTTATTGGTATGTAAAGAATAATATTTGCCAGATAAAAAAGAAAGAATAGAAAAAAACATAGGTTATACAACATTTATTAAATACATTTTGTATAACCAGTTATTAAATAACTCAAATACTTTTTAGTTATTAAAATATTTGTGGAAATATTTTTTACTTGGTATTTTATTCTGTCAAATGTGAATATAGTTCACAGTAAATTTTTCTGGAGGTATTTGGAGGATAAAAGTGAATAGCATTTAGCCAAACAGTAATATTTACTGCGGAGGGTATTTAGCGTTTAATGAGATGAAGTTATAAATTCAGATGAATGAGGGAAGAAACAGTTATCCTACCCTTCATTCACCTGAAAGAACTGAGGAAAATCAGTCACGTTAGCTAGTGCTCTTGAATACAAGAGATATCCTCTTGATCTATGTATTGAATACAAGTTTGGGTGCATTAGGCCTGAGCCAAACAGTAGAAATGACATTGTAATTTTTTTAAGTACACTACTGAAACATTGATTTTGTATCTACCAACATAAAAATGGAAATGTGAGAAACATTATTTAACTTTGACTTCTCAGGCTACCAGCCATGTAAGGTGGTTTAATAGTAGCCTGAGAAGAATTCATTATACTTAGTCACCATGAAATCTTCAGATCATACTGCAATAGGTGCTTTACTGTTGATGTTCTTTTGCACGGCTGTTTTCTGGGATGTTGCACCACATAGTCTGGTAAATATTGATCTTTGTTTGCCAGACTACACAGTGCAACTTCTTAGAAGACAGACATCTTCACGCTTGTTGCTATAAGAACCTGAAATACTCATTCTTTTACATGGCTGAGGGGGATAGTTTTTGTAGCAAATGTGATCAGTTTAGGTTAATGATTGTTATATTCTTATAGTTATGTAATGTCACTGTGGATCAGTTTTGAATCCATCCTTCTGGGTTATGGCAGAGAACTTGTCTACTTTGGTTTTGCCATCGTATAGTGAATCTGTTAAAGGGGAATCCATTAAGTTTAGAGTATGTTTATTTACTCAATCTCTATACAGTGAAATATAAAGATAAGTCAGCTGTGCTTAGCAATAGATTACAGTTGATTAAAATGTACACTTTAAATTTTTAAACTTGTAGTATGGCCTGAAATACGAATTCCTCTTCAATAAACTAGGGTGACCATCTTATGAGAGTGCTAGATGTGCTGCAAATTTTCAGTCAGACAGTTTCTCTTTCAAAGAAGAATGTTAGATATTTGCTTTATTTAAGTTACAAAGGTAAATATGTCATCATGAAGATGTTTGAGGGAGTGGAGGTAAAGTTTAATGGATTTTTAATTTGTTCTTAATTATGTTTTCTTGGCTACTTTGGATTCTGATTTCTTTTGCTGAAGCATCATGCCTGTATTCTTCTTATTAACATGTTATATTTACATTTCATACAAAAAAATATTGTCACGTGTAACTGTCATAATCTCTTCAATAATTTTTCTTTTGGGCTGGTTATGAAAATAATTACTGCATTAGTAAACTCTTTATTTGAACTTCATGAAAATCAGTTGAATATTGTCCTGTGCTGTGGAGTACTTATCCTTATATTTCTGTTAGGACTTAGAGTTGAAATAAATACTTAGTCATTTTTTTCTGGATTCCATTGTTTCAGGTATGAGAGAGTGCTGGGATTTTACAAAGGCCTGAGTGCTAACTTGATTCGTGTGACTCCAGCCACCATGATCACATTCCTCGTTTATGAAAACGCTTCACATTTCTTGCTGAATTTAAGTAACCAAGACCTGGGCAGTGATGCAGCTTTATCTGACAAGAAATAGTGATTAAATCATAACCCAGAAGTCTGGATACTTTTTCACTAGTTGATTTAATTTTCATGTGACATACAATGAGAGAAAAGTATAATAATAATGTGATAACAACAACAACAATAGTAATAACAATAAGAAATGAAGTGCATATTACTCTAGTTAATGCAGCTTAGCTAAGAAGAAGGAACCAATATTGAATGTTACATGCATTACAATTGCCAGAAATTGAATGTATATAACATTTTTGTTATGTAACCCTTTAAATTACGTTAGGGAACGCGGATGAATGCAGTATGTAAGATCATTTAATAAATATGATAGGAAAAGCTACAAACCTGCTGTATACAGAAAATGAGAAAGAGGGAATTACACCTATCCTGCTTCAGCTCACTCTTTAAAATTGTGGTAAATTTTTTCCTTCCATTCTTTTAACATTAAGTGATGTCTCTGAATAAGCCATAGTTAGCAGAGTAATGTCATAAGATGTGGCATAACATTCATGTGAAGTATATTGTTCCTGTGTGTTTGTGTTGTATGTAGCAGAAGTGCATAATAAATATAAATGTTTAAAATTGTATGTTTACTTACTAAAGCTACTGCCTAATTGACTATTCATTACACTGAAAAATTGTAAAGCAGTCAGTGGATCTCTTGAGAAAAAGTGTACATTTGTATTTTTGTGTAAGAAATTTCCACAAAAAAGGCTAGTGATAAAAGTGTTTGCTTCTTGCATATATGTGTGTGTGCATGCAGTAATTTCTCTTATTTGATACTGCTTTATGTGATGATGATAAAACAATATCTGTTGGAATATTTAGTATAAAATGTCAAAGTGACTTTCAGAATACATTTTTGCTCTGTAACTGGTTCCTTGAACTTTATAATATTTTTTGCATATACCTAGGTTTTATGGTATTCTTAATCTGATCAATGATATCCCGCGCCGTAGCCGCGCAGTCTGAGGCATCATGCTTCGGACCGGCGATACGGAATGCGCGCTGGTTTGAGTTTCGGGGGAGAAGAAATTTTCTTATGAACTTTCGACCAGTGTATGGGACCGGTGCCAACCCAGCATCGTGAGGAAATTGGGGAGCTACAATGAGTAGCGTAATCCAGTAAGGAAAGCTAGCAATGGCTGGGGGTTTGTCGTGCTGACCACACGTCACCCTATATATGGTTGGATGATCGTTCACCTCTGCTTAGGCATGTGAACGTGAGGTGAGCAGTCAAGCTAGTCGGCTTTGGCTCTCTGGAGCTGTTACACCACGGATTTAATTTTTAATCTGATCAATGATAGGGCTTATTGATGTGATTTTCTTCTTTGGTCTGTATCTTCACACACTTACTGCTGTGTGACTGTAAAATCATATTTTGATGGCTGTTCATTTTTACTAAAAATCATTTCAGATGGTGGCAGCACAGTTCTTCCTCATTTTTCCCATCATATATTTTACTTCAGTTTTTCATGTATGTTGCTGAAAAAGCTGTCAAACATTCATATACATCAGGAGGAATAAGAACCATGTTATTAATTTTACATCCCTCCATCCTGCATGATGCTTTACCTCCATGTCCACTTTTATTGTACTTGATGTCTAACACAAAAAAAAAAACAATTAAAGCATGAACATGTATAGTGATGATTTCTCTTAGTCCCCAAGCATTTTATGGAACACCTGCTGTGAACTTCATGTAATTATAAATTCTGTATGAAGGTTCCAAGAATGCGTACAGAATAAGAGAGATTATTTCCATCAACTGTAATCAGGGTAAGTTTTATTTTTGATGTGTAAATATTTTGGTTCCATTACCAGTACAAATCTGCATGGGCTATGTGGTGGGACAAGCATCTGATTATCCTCCATGAGAGTATCAGTAATTATCAGCAATACTAAAAAATAATCTCTATATTGAGACTGACTTCAACAGATTTAGAAATAGTTTGTAAAATAATCACAATACCAGGAGTTCCAGGTAAAACTCATAAAGCCTGCTTACCTGTTGCCCAGACAAATGGTTTAAAGTTCCTGTAATAAGTGGTTCTTATTTATCACTGTTGAACATCAGGGTAATGGAAAATGTTTGCGCAGCAGTTGTAATGTTACTTTACAGTGTATAAAAAAATTACCTGAACAAACTGCATACTTTTCAGTATTATTATTATTACTGTACATTATTTCATAACCACATATTAGTTTTCTTACAAGTTCATGAATCTGCTGTTCTTATTACTAACTGTAGGAAGTTAAAAAGTGTGAGATTGTGATGGCTGCTAGTGCCATAATGTTCATACCAAGTTGTGTGAAAATTGGTAATCTTGTTAAAAAAATTATCAAACATGCAGTCTGAATCTAGATGGCTGTCTTCAGGGCTGTAGTGCCATTGGTATACTTCTACCAGACTTCACAGCACTACCACCCAGAAGATACTGCTGTGAGAACCTAAAAGCTTGCTGCAGTATATTGTAACAAATACCCATGAAACCCTATTGATTTTAGCATTCTGGTAGTATCTACCAAGTCCACATGGCATTACTATGCAGAAGACCAATATTGACATCGTAACCAGCCTGAGAACCTCAAATCTTATCCATGACACTCTTCTTGAAACAAGTGTATTTGTTACCATAATGTGGCAGGGAGAAACAGTAGAGGCATAATGCAAACAAAATTTGAGGTTAATTTAAGATACAAATAGATTACGATGCTTTGCTTTGCAAGTAATTTCTTACACTTACTGCATCAACATTTGAACGTAATCTAATAGTAATTATATATATTTTTTACATTAATGGTGAAGCTCAATAAATTTGGTATATTTTTGCTGAAGAAAATCATGACTGAGAAATGGGAAAGTATGTTACTTTACACATACACAACCCACTAGTATAATAAAACATGCATAAACTCTGGCAGAAACCAACTTTATGCTTCAAGTTGTTATACCTAACTCATAATTTACTGCGAGTCACTTAATTTTGAGGTATGGGAAGAAGTGCAAAGAACTGCTACTTTGAATTTATTTTATACTATAATGTACAAGCAGTTAAGTGTTACTTGCAGTGAATAAAATGATGCAATATCTAATTACCCTTGTTTATCATTTTGCTGAAGAATTTTGAGTTTGTTTTATAGAGCACTATCGCAAAATAATATACATCACCTGGTAAGAATGTGAGTTTTTGAAAATATTTCTTGGAAGCCTTATTGTATAGCTATTCAGTGTCATGTCATTAAGACATATAACCTTTCATAAGTGCTGTTGTCTCTGGTTCTTTCATCATTACGTAAAAACACTAATAAATGTATTACAACCTGTTTATAATCGAAGTATTTTCCCGCCAAACACTTGTGCTGCCGCTACTTAAATAAATTAGAAACTGTATTGGGAAACATAAGAAGACGATCATGCGACGATCTTACGTCATTGGAATATGGTCACATGGGATCAGCTGTGGCGTCTGCTGTTATTACACGGTGTTATTCTCGTAACAGGAATATAAATCGAAGTGAACGTGAGTGTGAAGAATATTTTCGGCGAGGAACAGGGTGCTCATCTCTTGAAATGGTGAGTAAATACAATATTAGAATGTTTTTGGCATGAAGGGTGTTTCACGTATGTACGATCTGTTGAAAACGGTGTGCGGGGATGGAGGGAACTTGATAGTAAGTGGCGGGGAAATCATTATTTCAAACGGTTATGTTGGTTTTGTGCACTATGTTTTGCAACCAAGTAACGTGAGTTATTTTTTTATTTCTGCTGTGTATATATTTCTCATCATGATCAGTGGTTGCTCGTGTCTCATTTGTCTGTTGGGCTACCTCTACAACAAAATGAAAAATCTGTCATCAAATGTAAGTATTAGGGGTTTCAGAAACAATTAAAACGGCGCTGCTGCTGCTGAGAACTTGTATGTACTTTTTTCAACACGTAAATCTGACACATGGCCTGTTTTTCACAAAACTATCACAACATATTTTTTAATATTAATATGCATCGTCATGTAAGAAGAAGATTATCAAAACACTTTTTATAAGTGGATGTAAATAATCTTCTGAGAGAGGTGGGTGTGGTCCTAGCGAACATCTACTGGTTAGTATACCTGCTTCATGTTCTCGAAATCCCAGGTTCGAATATCGGCCTCGAGACTGGCTATCCTGACGGAGGTTTTTTTGTTTTTTCTCGGTGAATACCAAGATAGTACCTTGCATTAGGACACGATCGCTTCTTTCCGTATCCTTTCTAATCTGTTATTTATTAATAACCGTATCATTTGACGCTACATAATCCGAGATATTGATGGCGTCATTAAATAAAGCAAGATTAGACCATTTCTAGCGAAAGGTGCTGCGTCTCGTAAGCTTCCTCTCCAGAAATATTTTTCTCTCCTCCCGACGCCACTTTTCATGCCATCAAATTACCTTTCCACCTGGCCAGTTTCTCATTAAAGGGATAGTATAACGACAAGCTGCATCTGAAATAGCATTCTTTTACTCACTTTGGGACATTGAGAACGTTGAGTTAAATCATGCCAACTTTATATTCAGGCATATGTATCTATGTATATTGGCCCACTGTCAACATACTCAAACTACAATAATTTCTCAGTTCTTATTTTAAGTCGTGGACTGCCTCAAGTGGCCCAATTAACGAGCTGTTAATGTTTTATTGTCTGGCTGTACAACAGAATAGCAAAATAACTACAAATGCGTATCACTTTTTGATAATTCTGTTTGTTTATTGACATGGAGCTTTCAAGTCAGGCAGTCTTAGTTGCGAGCAGTATGTAAATGCTAACATTTTCGCACAAATTAGTGGTCTGTTACCATCGTGTGATACCATTGTTCCGGTATTTTGTCAATTTACGTGTTTATAAATTCAGTGCTGTATACATATATAAAAGACTAGGAAACCTCCGAAAAGGAGACTGCGAAGACCCACAACTGGGCTGTAGAGTCAATGAACAAGAATAAGGAGAAGAAGAATACATATATAAAACATTTCTTTGTAGTCGAACTGTTTAGTTCATCCCGTTTGCAGATACAATATTTGTGTGGAGTCACTGCCATTTCAGAATACGTGTTTGCTGGGTTGTACCTATGAGTATTTTCAATTTCATCTGATTGGTTATAATTTAATGATTTTTGAAACCAAATTTATTACGCTAAAGTTTCGACCTTCATTAGAAATATTGTATTCTGTTGGAATAAGGAAACTTGTCGATTGTTGGACAACATTGTCTGCACTGAAAATTAGGACGATTTTAAGTTGTGTATGATTATTTCGTCGGTACTTAACGAAACTTTTTTTTTTACTTCAGGGTCGTATTTTTCACGTGGTTGTTATATTTTTACTTATGTTTAAAATGGCGATGGTGATTTTTTTATATTTATCACTGTGCTGTGTTACAAATACAGCCCTTAAAGCACTCGTGGACTTCACTCTTCATTATGTCCGTCATCTGAAGGTCACCATGCCGCCACCTTCGTAACAAATTGCACAGCTTGACAAGAAATGACATCTTGGCGACCTCGATATTGTATTTCATGCAGATCGCTTCGGTGACTCAAATGTTGTTTCATGAGCCCTGGGACAGACAGGTAGATGCAGATTATGACTGTCCTCCAGAAATTAACTCACCCTTTCGAAGCTAATAGTCGTTCGGCTAGTCAAGAAATTTTCCGTCTTTTGTGAAACCAGAAGGTTCATTATTGTGTTCACACGAGGTCGCCCCTGGATTCTATCCTGAGTCAGTTGTTTCTAATTCATACCAAACTTTTTTAGGGTAATCTTCCTTCTATGACCAAGTCGCCTTTGTGGTCCCTTCTCTTCTAGGTAAAGG